TAAAACAAGCTATTTGCCACTGCCAGGGCATTAACGTTTTTATAGAAAATATTTTATAGTTTGTTATAGAAAAACCAGCTTTGCTCAGAGTCCAGAGCCTCGATCATAACATTATAACAGGCACCTTCCGAGTAGAGACCTGCACTATCGCGGGACCCAACGCAACAGATTGAGGCACGGGACACCACTGGATGGGCGGGTAGAGACTCATGTGTGCGGGATGCGGGAGAATAAGGGTGTACTCACACTAGGCAATCTTAACCGTGCCCGAGCGCGTTTGACCCCCAAAGCCCGGTTCGTTTGAGCAGTGTGATCGCTCCGTGCCGCGCTCAGTTGGAGGAGGTGGGCCAGAGGGCGGTTCAGTTATATATAGATCTGTGAGTGTGAGCGCTAAACGCGCCGGAGCGCGGAACTTCTGATACGTGCAGCATGATTGCGTGAACATTTCTGAGCAGCAAGAGTGATAGATCTGTAAAGCAATATATTGTGAGAGGGCCGTGTGTTACTACTGCGTCCCAAACGACTCAAAATAATAAACCACAAAGTTAACAAAATGATGCACTCCACTGTGCTGAGCAAGAGCACTTCTCTACTGTCTTCACGTGCTATCAGAAACTTCCTGTTTCCCACTTATGAAGTCGTGATTACGAGCACGTTGCATTCTTTTCTGTTAAAAATAACAGTGAACAGTGGTTTGTGAATGTTGATGTGAAAAATGTTGAATGTTGATGGGATAATGTGAATGTTGAGGTTTGTGATAAATAATTTTATCGGGAGCGTTCATGTGAGTGCTGTATTAGGCCCTCCACAAATGCTCTCATTCAAGCCAGTACTGATCAACATTCCACCCCTCCTGTGACCCATGGTTTGTCTGTATGTGTATTCAGAGCCAGCGAGCAACGGACTTTCATAATAATGAAAAACAGCGTTAATGCACAATAAAATAATTGCCGGCGTTAATCAATTAATGCGTTAACGCCTTAACTTGCCCAGCCCTAATAAATATATGTAACCGGGCCGGCATAGACCAACCCGTATATACCCAATAGGGGCAATAGACCCGCTCAAGCTATTCAACTAAATAAATGTATAGGAACTGGTGCAGTACATGTTCTCTTTATTTCTTTTTCCCTTTTTTTAAGGGGGGGGGAACAAAACACTTCCCAACCTTACACAATCAACAAAATCAAAACATCACTTAAATACAAAACCAAAAACAAACAAAATACAAAAATGGCAACAATAAGAGAGTCAGATTGGTTCACTTAGACTTAGACAGGTCTTAGGCTAGAAGTAACCATCTCAGCTATTTCCGATGCAACCATGGAAACTTATAACATTCACACGTGCAACACAATGTACAACCATCAAGCAAATCAACCGATAGTGCTATCACCGCATCACACAACACCTTAGTAGCTGGGGTACTGTCTCACCAAGTACGAGCCCCCTTACAGCAACCAAAAAAATAAAGAAAACAAAACAAATAAACTATATAATGTTAACATAACAAAATCAAATCAAATACAAATAAGGAAACAAAAACAAACACTTATGTATAAACATTCAGTACTGGGAAAACAGTGGTCTAATATATGACCAGCTCCCAGATAAGTCTGCCAAAACACAATTACACATTTAAATACAACTACATTCATATATTATTAAAATATGCAATTTGCATTTCAACCATACATTTCAATTAATTACACTTTTATAAAACATTAAAACATAATTCAATTACCTCCACAATGTTTCCTAATTAGACTGAACACATCGTATCACGTTAAGCGACCGTGCTGCCAAATTTGTTACTACAATGAAACAAACAAAAACATACATGCTCAAGGACAAACCATATTCTGCTTATTACACCTAATAAATCAAACGACCTACCCGGGTATTATCAGCCACATGAAAGGGGAAAAAGCCACAATAAGAGACGTACAGCTCCAAATCAATGGCCGCGATGCCAGGTTTGTTACCAGGTATTATCAGCCACACACACCCACAACAAAGGACGATACAAATTGTGTACTCGTGTGCAGCCGCTTTCCACGCTCACACCAGTACAATGCCAAACAACCATGTGCGAGACGCACAATGTCACGCCATACACGTTTAACTAATTTGGGCGGAAGTTATGTGGCACGCATCCTTCCGTGACGTCACCTGAAAAATAAATAACCAAACATCTAGCGTGGTGTTAGTTCTGGCTGGTCACGTTAGTCAAGCTCGCATCAGCTGACTCTCAGCTGATCCCCATCAACCTATGGGAATACGACACCTATCTAAGCATTCATATATAAGGTCCCTGACTAATGAACAAGTTCAGATGGGAACTTCATCCCCAAGAAGGATATCAAGAGATCAAGCATCCACTTCACAGCTGCTATGTTTCACTCTTTTGAACGTCTTCACAAGCTAAGTTCCATTTAATGCTCTCAGGTTATCTGCAACATGCATGTTGCTAAGGCTATCCGTGTTGCTTGGGCTCATTAAGTTGTTTTCAGTTAAATGCTTGTGCTAGTTCATGCGAATGTGCGGTACTTATCTGCTGTCACTGGCAACACGCTTGTCACTGCGCTTAAAGGGGGGTCTAATGTCATTTCATGCATTCCGAGTATTTACACTGTTAAGAGTTGGATTCTTATGTGCTTGCGCGCACTCAGCGACCCAAGCGAGAGCAAGAGCGAGCCGCTTAACGAGTTTCTTTCATGGTTACGGAAGTCTTCGGCAGCGCCACAGTTACTTGCTCGAGAAGACTAGGCGGAATTAAAGTGGAGACGTCAAGTCAGACACTTTCTGCTCGTGGTAATGACGCTCTCACAGTGTTACATACATTACAGATGGAAGTGTATTAAATGCAACATTGTCAAATACACAGATGTTTCAGAAATGTTTTCATAAAGCAACAGAAACACGTTTATTCTGGTTAATACAGCGCCATATGTTAATGAATAAGTTAAACATTAACATATGCTATTTAAATACCAATTAAGTGGGGGTGTATATGCTTTCATCAGTGTTTTTTGAATGTGACTCAATATAACAGTGCGACTACCTAAAAATGCTTTTACTGTTATAAAAACACAATTCATGCATTCTGAGTTATTTACACTGTTAAGAGTTGTATTCTTATGTGCGTGCGCGCACTCAGCGACCCAAGCGAGAGCAAGAGCGAGCCGCTTAACGAGTTTCTTTCATGGTTACGGAAGTCTTCAGCAGCGCCACAGTTACTTGCTCGAGAAGACTAGGTTGTTCGAGAGGAACTACACTAGCCTGCCTCCGGCTGGAGAGAGTAGCCGCTTGCAGTTGGGGCGGAATTAAAGTGGAGACGTCAAGTCAGACACTTTCTGCTCGTGGTAATGACGCTCTCACAGTGTTACATACATTCATAGATGAAGTGTATTAAATGCAACAGAACAGTGGATGCAATTTGTTTTTCCAAGGCAGCAACGGAGTTCTCAAGCGTGTTTGTTTGTTCCCGTTATTTCGGTGACGAATGTTTTATAACAAGGTACATTCTGACACCACATTCTGATATCGGACATGCTTCTGAGGCAGCTTAATGGTTCAATGATCTACAACAAATAGAACAAACTTGGTGATAACTAAGCAAATATTCATTGATTTATTTGATCAACCATCACAGGATAGAACACACAGGATTGTGGGTGGAGACGTCAAGTCAGACACTTTCTGCTCGTGGTAATGACGCTCTCACAGTGTTACATACATTCATAGATGAAGTGTATTAAATGCAACATTGTCAAATACACAGATGTTTCAGAAATATTTTCATAAAGCA